TCAAAGCTCAACCACAACTTTGCCTTTCAAACAAGCCTCTGAACCAACACAATCTAGCAAATTATTAACCAAACGATTCAGATTAAGCCTTAGGAACTACTCACGATTGCAAAAGATTCAATTTAGGTCATTATTGAAAAAGTCAACTCCCGGGCTTACTGGGTCCAAACCCAAAATTTGGATCAAAACCCGATCACCCATTCACCCCGAGCCCGGTTATATAATTTGTTTTGAAATCCGACCTCAATTTGAGATCTAAATTTCAATTTTATAAAAATCCCTAATTCTACCCAAACCCCCAATTTTCACCATGAAAACACTAGATTTTAGGTTGAAATCTTATGAAATATAATGAAATATAGAAAGAAAATAGGGTAGAATCACTTACCAATGGATTGAGGAAGAAAGACTCTTGGGAAAATCACCTCTAGGGTTCTCTAGGTTTGAGAATTTGAAGAAATGAGAGAAATCCCGTCTAATTCAGCTTTTGACCAGTTGTAGATGTCGCAATTGCGACCTGGGGTTCGCAATTACAAACCACGCAAATGCGAGCTTTTCTTTGCAAATGCGAAGTCCCACACTTTCTGCTATCATCGCAATTGTGATGACTTGTTAGCAATTGCGAACAGTGGCCTTCTCACAATTGCGATCCATTGATCGCAAATGCAAACTCAGGTTGACCCACCCCTCTTTGCAGTTGAGACCCTAACAGGAATTGGATTATTTCGCAATTGCGAACACTAACCTTGCAAATGCGAGGTCAGAGACTTGCTCCAGAACTGAAGCACACCAGCAATATTTCTAAGTCCAAATTAACTCTGTAGCCTATCCGAAATTCACACGAGCCCTCGGGGCTCCAAATCAAACATGCACACAAGTCCAAAAATATCATACGAACTTGCTCGGGCGATCAAATTGCTAAAATAACACCTAAAACTACGAACTGAACACCAAATCAAATGAGATTTTCAAGAAAACTCATGAACTTCTATTTTAACAATCGGACGTCTGAATCACGTCAAATCAATTTTGTTTCTCACCAAATTTGACAGACAAGTCATAAATATAGTAATGGACCTATACCGAGTTTCGGAACAAAAATACGGACCCGATATCAATAAAATCAAACATTGGTCAAACTTTTAGAATCACTAAGCCTTTAAATCTTAATTTTTCAACAAAAATATGATAACTCGAGCTAGGGACCTTCGAATTCGTTTCTGGACATACGTCTAAGTCCCAAATCATGATACGGACCCATCGGGTATGTCAAAAATACGGATCCAGGTCCGTTTGCTCAAAACGTTGACCAAAGTCAACTAAAATGAATTTTTAAGGCAAAATTTTATATTTTATCAGTTTTTAACATATAAGCCTTCTGAAAAAATACCTGCACCGCCCACGCAAATCGAGAAAGTCTAAAATGAGGTATTTGGGGCTTCGAAACACGGAATTAGGTTCTAAAACTCTAGATGACCTATCGGGTCATCACATATACTTAAGTACCTTCCTCAGTTGACCATGGTACCAGAGTTTTCATGAAGTTAGATGATAAACTTAGCTCTTAATTTCAAATTTTATGTTTTATCTTTCTGTTGAACTTTATTTTTTTATCTCGACAATACTTACAAAAAGACTATTTATAAATTCAATGATGTTTTTAACGATCGCGCGAAGCGCGAGTAAATTAACTAGTACCAGCTAGAATTGAAAAATTTACAATGTGTTTATATAAATAATAAATAGAAACCCATTAATATTTGGAGTTAATTAAGAAAATGACATGAATGAGAGTGCAAAAATTATTTAATTAGTGGTCAAATCAGCAGAAAGCAATGTTAGTTGCCAGCAAAAGCAGAAAAGGAACGAGGCTGTCTTGATAGTAAATGGGGATTTGCAAATTGCATATCTCTTTTCTTTCTATGTTCTGTTTCATACGTAAGTTCCTCTTCAACTGTAGCTGTCTCACATAGCATTATTTCTTGCTCTCTAACCAGCAATTATCCACTAAGTAGGGGCAGAATTATAATTTCAAATTTATGAGTTCTGACCTAGCCATAAAACTCATAATTAGTCTTAAGTATTGGGCTTGCAATTAAATATTTGTACATATTTAATAAATATACATGGCTAGAACAAAAGCTATTAAATTCGTTTGAACACGTAGGTAATACTCTACCTTCGTCCCTTTTCACAAGCAGGGGCAGAACCACATGATTTAAAGAGTTTTATATATTAAATCTTCTTGTCGAAAAATTATATATTGTATATATAGATTACAAATTATTATGCATATATATAAATCTTTGAATATTTTTATATAGGAGAAGGTTCTATTATTATGGCAAAGTTGACTCAAATTTGCTTTAGGATGTAGCTGTCAATCTCATGTGTGGCATTTTATAATTTTTTTTCCAGTATTCTTGGCTCGACTACTGTTTAAAGGTGAATTTAGGATTTGAATTCTATGGGGTTCAACTTATAAGATTCTTAGCATTGAAATATTTTTAAAGTTATGAATTCATATCTACTATTTATTTTAATTTTAAATAAATCTTACATATAAAGTTATATTCCACATCAAAAGTTATGAGTTCAATTAAATCTGTACTTATGATGCTACATCAGCCTCTGCCACTGTCCACAAGGTTGAAACAGATAAGGATACAAAACATCCATGTTCCAAGTAAAGCTGTTGGAACACACAACCGGGTTACAGGTAGCAGTTGCCACAATAACCAGTGCCATTCTTATGCATTTCTAACAGGAATGGGAGGGGGAAAAGTAAAAGTACAAGAGAATTGGAGGGTAATCCAAGTTTACCCAATCGCTTAAATTTAAAATAGCTAACGAATATATATGTGTATGTATGTATGTATACCGATTAAAAAAAATAAATAGTGAATCTAGCTGAGTATTTGAGTAAAGATCCCTTCATCTTTGGGGCAAGTGCACAGATAGTCATTCACATGGATGTCATTTAGAGATTAACCAGTACTTATCTTTTCCTGAATTTTTAAACTAAAAATCTTAACTTCAGGACAATTCACAACATTAAATAGCAGCCCATTAGAATGGCTACATGGTGTCATTTCTACATTATCTTTTTGTGTAATCCAAGGGAGTTTCTAATGAAATGTTTGCATCTTAAATGTTAGCCTTCTTGAAGACTCTTCAAACTAGGACTTCATTCTTCAGTTTTTTCAGAAATGGACCTCTTTATTCTCTTGGGCTTCAGTCTTTTTGAATGTCAAGACATTTCAAATAGGCTTTTACTCTTCAGGTCATCAAAAAATGGGCTCTTAATTTTGTGAGATTCAGTCTTCCGCTATTATTTTTCATGAAAATGATACTGTATAGCCGCTATTAAAATAATAACTCTATATACATACATATATTCTGTATGTTATATACAAATTTTATACACTTTTTCCTCTACCAAACGTAAATAGTTTCTGCGCGAGCTAAAAGTGAAAAAATCCCTCATTTCTTTTCGGGGCTTTTTTATTCTTTGGACATCTTGTTCAATCATGGAAGCGAGAGCGGAGGGAGAGTAGAAGTTAGGGGTTCGATCGAATTCAGTAGCTTTGGTTCAAACCATGTATTTGTCGTAATAGATTCATTGAATACGTACAAATTATTAACTTAGAACTCAATAGCTTAAAAGATTTAGAATTCTAAACCCATAATCTTCGAATCATGGCTTCACCTTTGCTTTACCAAATATGCTGATTGTTTTCTTAAATTCTTATTTAGAGTAGATTCAATCCACAAAGGTACCACACCTTTTGCACAAGGGTACTCCTTATCTAAAAAGTTGGGCCCACCTGATCCTCCATCTGAGGTATATATGCTGACTGAACTTAGCCACCTATTCTCTATCCATTATAGAATTTACTTTGTACAAAATTTATGTAATGGAATTTCAAAATCATAAAATATTACCCCCTTCCTGCCAATGTTCAGATTTTAAGGGTCAAACGAATTAACTTTTTATCATAGTTTTTATATATCTTTTAACTATTTTAAATTATTAATTATTACAGTACTTCTAAAATATTTTAAGTACTTTTATTGTGACACACTTAAAAGTTCTATATTGAAATACACGGTCAAAATTAAAAGGTTTGAATTTCGGAAAACAAAAAGTATCATACAAAATTGGGACAAAGGGAATAGTATAAAGGTTTATGAATATACAAGTGATAAAATTATTGTTTTGATAAAAATGTTTATTAGATTATTATATTCTCTGCATTCTATTTCAAAGTCATGAGAATTTGAGTAGGCATTTGGACAATATTTTGGTTGGAATGAGAATTTGAGTAGGATTATCGTTTTTTATTAAATAGAAATCTTAATATTTTTCTTGTTTGGGTTAAGAGACACGCAAATCTAGTTGCTCACTGCTTGACAAAAGAGTTTAGAAATTATGCTAATTTTCTCTATTGGGAGTATGCTCCTAATTTTATTGTAAACTTGTTGGTTGTTGATTCAACATAATAAAAGTCTTTATTTGGGTTGAAAAAATAATATTTGAAACTTGAAGTTGTATTTAAACATTTAATTTGAATAAAGTCGAAGGTTTATGAATGAAAGCTTTACTATTATTTCATTTGAAGTGCTCCTAATACAAAATTTTCAATTATTCACCAATATTCATGGATTTAGCTTATATACAATTATAGCATAAATAATTGTTTTACTTGCGGTGTATTTTAATCTTTTGGAGCAGGTAATCTATCTTATTTTTCAGGCTATTAATTCCTATTTTTATGGACAACTTCTTTAGTTACAATTTAGGTGATATAAAAGTTAAACTCCTCATTTCAAGTACAGAAATCCATATTTACAAATGCTGATAGCTGAACTAGTACATTTTGAAAGTAAATTGAATTTGCAGCCTGGTGCACTAAGCTTTCGCTATGTGCGGTTCGGGGAAGGGCCGGACACAAGTGGTTATTGTATGCAGTCTTATCTTGCATTACTGTAAGAGGCTGTTTTCACGGTTCGAACCCGTGAAATCCTAGTCACATGGCAACAACTTTACCCATTACGCTTATGCTTAGGCTCACCTTCTACATTTTGAAAGTACTGAAATACTATTATTCATGGGAAAGATTTTCATACCACTTCATGCATTGGACTGAACAGCTAAAAAATAGTACAAATTTTCTGATACTATGCCTTGGTTCAAGAATCTCATCAAAATTTCCACTACCATTTTGAACCAACCATCTTCCAAATCTATAACCCCATTTGCCTCACCTCCACTGACCCAATTTTTTCTACAATTCACTAAAGATTACTCTACTAATATTGGTTCTAAACATGCTGGAATGGAACCAACAAAAACTGACCAAAAACCAAGAATTGTGGTGCTAGGTTCAGGATGGGCTGGTTGCAGGCTAATGAAAGACATTGACACAAACATTTATGATGTTGTTTGTGTGTCACCTAGGAATCATATGGTTTTCACTCCATTGTTAGCATCTACTTGTGTTGGAACTCTTGAGTTTAGGTCTGTTACAGAACATATTGGGAGGATTCAACCTGCTATTTCAAGAGAACCAAGTTCTTATTTCTTTCTTGCTAATTGCACTGGCATTGATTTTGATAAACATATGGTATGAATATTTTCTTCCTCCTTTTCATTTTCTTGTTGTTTTCTATTTTAATTCCTAGACCCCCAATATTTGTTTCCCTCTGCTTATGCTATAAAAGGGCAACCTGTTGCACAAAGCATTCCGCATTTACACAGGGTCCGGGGAAGGGCCGCACCCTAAGGGGTGTGATGTAGACAGGCTACCCTAATGCAAGCATTAGTGGCTGCTTCCACGGCTCGAACCCCTGACCTATAGGTCACACGGAGACAGTTTTACCATTGCTCCAAGGTTCTCCTTCTGTTTATGCTATACGTTGGCATAATGGTATTTATGAGTTCCTTGAGGTATTTAAAAGGCTAGTATCATCTTTTATATTCTATCGAGAGTTCGGATTGCTCCACCTAACGGCTGATGAAAAGCCAATAGGACATCATTAGTTTTATCGGGCATGAAATTGCATTCGCTAATAGAGCTTCCTGCAATTGCACCCTAGGAGAGTGCAAATGGCATGTTGAATGATATTGTTCCACTTGGTAGCTTAAATTAACGTAACCCCTCTATGTCCAGGGACGGAGCTAGAGGGGCGGAAAGGGGTTCATCTAAATCTCCTTTCCTGTAAAATTACACTGTATATACTAGGTCAATTATTTTTTTCCTTATGTATAGTAGATGTTGAACCCCCTTGATGAAGATCCCGTCTCCGCATACTACCTCTAACACGCAAGTTTGCATTGTACTTGTAGGTACAATGCCAAACTGTGACAGAAGGAGTTGAAACCTTGGAGCCATGGAACTTCAATATTTCATATGACAAGTTAGTCATTGCCTCTGGAGCACAAGCTTTGACATTTGGAATTAAAGGTGTAAAAGAGCATGCTACTTTTCTTCGCGAAGTTTACCATGCTCAGGAAATACGAAGGAAACTACTCCTAAATCTCATGCTTTCTGATGTGCCTGGTAAGATTTTCATTCAGAGGTTTTTGCAAGGACAATGTAGAGTTAGTTTCATGAATGATCCCTGAACTTCACTCATTATAACAGTAAAGTGGTAGCTATTTGTTAATCACATTAAAGTAACTGAACTATGCCTTGGTTCAGTTATTTTACTGTAACATCTGCTATAGTGGGCGACATTCAGTAACCATACATGAAATTAACATTAACGTGAACGATGTGATATCTAGAGGATATTATTGACTGATTTCTCACTTTTGGTCATGGCTGAGACAGGAGTTACAGAGGAAGAAAAGCGTCGACTTTTACATTGTGTTGTAGTTGGAGGTGGACCAACAGGAGTTGAGTTCAGTGGTGAACTTAGTGATTTTATCCTAAGGGATGTTCATCAAAGATATTCTCATGTCAAAGACTACATTCGCGTCACATTGATTGAGGCAAGCTTGTCTCAATTTCTATAACTGTTTTCTCATTTGATAGAAAGGAGCTCTGCTTATATTTAAGTAAGCTCTATGTCCTTAATTGACAGGCAAATGAGATATTGTCCTCCTTTGATGATCGTTTACGTGTATATGCAACCAAACAGTTGACAAAGGTGAGATTCTGAGTAAAATGGTATGTAAATTTTTACTGTGCTATAGCATATGTTAAAGGATATACTACATAGTCAGGAGTTCCTTTATGTTATCCAAATTGAATTTCTGGATCCTATTTTTTGTTAATGTCTTAGTTTTCAGTCAGGAGTTCGTCTAGTACGAGGCCTCGTACAAGATGTGCAACCTGAGAAGATAATTCTTAGTGATGGCACTGATGTTCCATATGGTCTGTTAGTTTGGTCTACTGGTGTTGGACCTTCACCTTTTGTGAATTCACTGGATATACCAAAAGCTAAAGGGAGGTAAGTCGAGATTTCATGTTACAACTTCTTAAACATAGCTGGATATTTGACACATTGCTATATGTTACTATGATTTTTCCATCTGTTCTATTTCCGAAAAGTAGACTTTGCCTGTATTGTTTTATTCATCAGTTTTGGTGCTTTAACAGGATTGGAATTGATGAATGGTTACGCGTCCCATCGGTACAGGATGTCTTCTCAATTGGTGACTGCAGTGGTTTTCTTGAAAGTACAGGCAAACAAGTTCTTCCAGCTTTGGCACAAGTAAGTTAAAGGGATGCAGGCAAACTGCTACACCTCAATCTCAAGCTTGTTGGTCGGAAATTATTTAATGCATATCGTCATATAAAAAAATACTGATTTGTTGCCAGCCGAAGAAATATCCAAAATGTTCAACCCTCCTCAGGCTAAAGAATGATCAAAAGCTGGGGTGGAGCTACATAAAACGAAGGGAGTTCGATTGAATCTCCTTTCCTATATGAAAATTGTTGAATGTCTTGACATAAGGGAAGTTTGTAGCCTAATGGCAAAGGTGGTTTTAAATTTTGTGTTAGGTCGCAAGTTCGTGTGTGGCATTCTTACATTTTGTTTGAACTTCTTTATTAGAATTTCTGACTCTGTCACTGTCAACAATATTAGATATTTTAGGTTTTGTATCGTTATGTTAATCGAATTTGTGGCGACATATGGTGTCTGCATTGTTGATTATGAGATGTTGTGAAGGTGAAGTTGAAGAGGTAACCACTTTTTTATTTAGCTCTTTGTGTAGCATATTGTTTATTGGATATGAAAAGGTGAACCTTGGAGCAATGATAAAGCTGTTTCTATGTGCCTATAGGTCAAGGGTTCGAGCCGTACTAATGCTTGCATTTGGGTAGGCTGTCTACAACACAACCCTAAGGGTTCGACCCTTCCCTGGACCCTGTATGAATGCGGGGTGCTTTATGCACCGAGCTGTCCTTTTATTTATTTGTTGTATATTTGTGGCTGATGATTACTATCATATAATTGTTTTGACATACTTGTGTTTGAGTAAATTATCTCTAATTGTCTGACAAGAGTGGGTTGTTCTAGCGGTGAACACCCTCTACTTCCAACCAAGAGGTTGTGAGCCGGAGTTCTTGGAGGGAGGGATGCCGATGATCTATCGGAAACAGCCTCTCTACCAAGGGTAGGGATAATACACATTACCCTCCCCAGACCCCGCCGGTGAGATTATACTTTATTGTTGTTGTTGCTGTCGTCATCGTCGTCTTATGATGTCAGGTGTATTTGATCAGGTTGCAGAGCAGCAGGGAAAATATCTTGCAAGTATGATAAACAGGATGGGTAAAGAAGGTGGAGGACATGCCAATTCTGCAAATAAAATGAATTTGGGAAATCCATTTATTTATAAACACTTGGGAAGCATGGCTACTATTGGTAGATACAAGGCCCTTGTTGACCTTAGAGAGAGCAAGGTTTCCTCACTTTCAATATATGAGTTTAATTCTTTTGGCCATTTGCATAAATGACCTTTTTTAGGCATCTCTTTAACTTTTGCCCCTCGTAAGCCTAAATTTTTCAGCAAAAAATTAAAAAAAAATCGCCCAACTACTCTAGAGGCATATTTTAGCCGCATTGGGTTGATGGGGGACAGAATTTAAAGAGTTGCTTTAGAAAAGGCCATATGGTACATACTACCACTAATTTATATGCACTGACATAATTAAGAGCATGTCTGGACATAAGAATTTTTTCAAAAAATTTCACTTTTTTTCGAAATCAGTGTTTGACCATAAAATTTTCAATTTTCACTTCATAAATTTTGGAATTTTTCGAAACTTTGAATAACTCCAAAAAGCTATTTTTTAAAATTTTCGTGCAGATCACTCACAAAACTTCAAAAACAACCCAAAATTATATTCATGTCCAAACAAAACTCTAATTTTCAAATATCATTTTCACTTGAAAATTTTTTTACTTTTTTTTTTTTTTGGAATTTGATAATTCTTATGTCCAAACGCCCACTTAATATCCTATCAGTCACCTAAAGAATTACTACATGCAACTGTCAAATAACATTGGGATTAGTATCCCGAAAAATTAAGCAGGTTACCCTGCTAATAAAATTTATTTACACAATCAATATAAATGCTTCTTAGCTGCTAAAACTTGTTAGCTTGCTAATTGGAAACATATATGGTGCAGGAAGCAAAGGGTGTATCTATAGCAGGATTCACGAGTTTGCTTGTTTGGCGTTCTGCATATTTGACTCGTGTAGTGAGCTGGAGGAACAGATTCTATGTACTGATTAACTGGTTGACAACCTTAATCTTTGGCCGTGATATAAGTCGGATTTAGACAAAACATCCGGAACATACCTGTCGTACAGTAGTGTTTGCAGGATTTTGTGCAAGCGATGTCCGTCTATTGTCACAACTCTACTATGAGCTTGGGTTGAGGTGTGGAAATTACAAGGCTTTATTTCCTGTTTCGGAATGTTTTTATTTTGTAATATTTCCATTAGATATCGTCACACTGTATATATAGCTAAGTAATATTTTTTTTCAACAATAATGTTTATATATATATATATATATATATATTTATATATTGTGAATCTTTTTTGCGAAACAATATCGGATGACACCCCTTGTAAAAGGGATGCAGCAGGTGTCTCTGCCATTGCTCACCGTTAGGGGTGTTCAAACCGAACCAAAAAATCGCACCAAATCGAAAAGTCAAACCAAAACCGATAAAAAAACTCAAGTAGGTTTGTTTTGATTTGGTTTGGTATGGAACAAAAAAATCTGAACTAACCCGAAATATAAATATATAATTTATATATAAGATTTTATATAGAATTTTCTTTATAAAATGTCTAAAATATTTGAGACTCTCTCCTGAGATGTAATATTTAATAGAACTATGAAGTGCATCCATATTTATTTACGTTAAATAATGGGTTTTATCATCACTTTCTTATCAATTGTTATTGATATGCGTCAATCTCTTTGTTCTTTCATATTCATATGTCTAAATGTCACACCTCCTTTTTTTTTACCCCGGAAAGGGCATAAGGGAGTTTTTCCAATTAAAGTGACAACTGAAACAGGATTATTTTATTTAGAAATCAGAGTCGCTACTTGGGATAATTTATGGTGTTCTAAGTCACTGGTTTTAAATCCCGAATCGAGGAAAGATTGACTCTGCTTTACAGTCCGCGAAACACAGAAATCCGGGTAAGAAATTCTGTTAATCCGGGAGAAGGTGTTAGGCATTCTCGGGTTCCGTGGTTTTAGCACGGTCGCTCAACTGTTAATATTGTCCTATTTATTTGATTTTAAAACATCTTTGAAACCTATGTGCATTTTTAATCCTTTTAAACCGCTTTTAATAATTCAATTGTCATACAACTAATTATTTGATTACACGTTGTGAATCATGTCACGGGAACCGTACCCATGATCCACAACATGTTTATTTTATTAACAAGATTAAATTGTGGTCGGGTCACATAAATGTATCCCCGGATTTAGAAATTAGGCATCACAACTACGTCACGGGAACCGTACCCGTAGCTATGGTAATTTATTTAATTAAATGCGCCTAAAGCAAACTACGAGAGTTCAAGGCATTTTCTACACTAGTTAAGATATCAATGTGAGGGCCATAGACTAGGTGATTGGATGTCACACCTCAAATTTATTAAAGAAAAAAAATATTCAACTAAGTGAACTACGGATATTCATATTTATAACTAATTTGAAATTAAGTATCACAACCACGTCGTGGGAACCATACCCGTAGTTGCGATGATTTAATTACGTGCCTAAAGCAAACTACGAATGTAAGCGAGAAAGCCCGATATCATGGGATTCATTTTATATTTTGGTGAAGTCCAAGAAGATATAGCAGAATGAAAATTTACTGTCTTTACAATTCAAGAAACAACAGTACCATTACTTGAAGCTAAACTTCAATAACCAAGCACAAAAAGAACAAGCAGTTGCTTTCAAAGTCACATAAAGAACCTACATTTAAGCCAAACAAATCAAACCAAGCAAACCGTTACAAAGGGCATGGATTATAATTTCAGTGACCATATCCTTAACCTTCCATGGATGGACATAAAATACCCCCTTTTAATTTTTCAAAATGACTGAATCTTGTTCATAGTTTCAGAATTTTATGACTAATCCAATTGTGCACAGAAGACACTTTATGAAGAGAATAATTCTAACAAGATAATGAAGAAAGTTATCAACCAACAGAACGTTTTACCATTAACTGCCCTTATGAGAATTAACTTAGTGTTCCAACAGAATTCAAAGGAAAAGTCCTCATTGGGTCAAGGAAACTAATACATCTATCAACACCAGAATTAATCAACAATGTCATTTGATACTAACGAAGGTAATTGAACGAGCTTAAACAGATATCTTTGGTCAAATCTCCATTTAATAAACAAAAATATTGTTGAAAATTACCAACAAACGCATGATCGATGCACACCTACATTGACAACCAAAGCAACAATGAATTGATTCCCAGAAATCTTCGGAAAACCAAAGCATTCAACTTGCATTTGAACCCAAATATTTCCACTTTCTATCGACCATACTATCTCAAAACATCTCCAGGAAACCAAAGAAACCCTATGTGTTAGAACATGAACAGGAAATCCAGTAAAATGGCTAATGGAGTTCATTCTCAGGGAACATATAGGAAACAAGATAATCAGTTAAGATTCAAACCCTGCGATCGATCAAGTTCTCAAGGAAAAGAATAGATTGAAGTTTCTAAAAAAAGAAAAGAAATTCAAAGTAACTCGGCGGTAAACCAGCAGACAAGCACATGAATAGCCATTGGAGAAGACTTCGAAATGGTTCTCATTCAAACTAAAACTGGACGACCTTATAAAACTGAAACCAATGAACTAGTCAATTAAATTTAAACCAATTGACTGATCCATCTCCAGTAAACGAAACAAAGCACAAATAGTCAGGTATGTTGGTCAGAGGTGCAGATTTGTTAGAACATGATAAGCCAACAAACATTTTTCAAATACCACTTGAACTCTTAGCTAATTCAACATTGATAGCCAGTCCACACAGGGGATAAAACAAGAACTAGAGGAGACATATGAGTCAAGTTGTAGAAAACTGAATCAGAGGCAGATACGATTTGAGGGACGATTTCTCTATCCAAACAGCACAAAACAGTAAGAAACAAAACTCAGATAAATCTGTCCAGAGCAGGACGACTTTTGAAACATACATTCGAACACAAACCCATTCGAAATTGTTTATTAAGCGCATACAAACTCATTCGGTACCCTTAAGATGTTATAGACACTAAAGTACCCCATTCGACCACCCATAGCTCTTACCAGATTTCCAATAACACAAAGAGAAAAAAAAACAAATTAAGAAAGATTAGAGATGAACCTGAAATTAGAACTTTTGATTAACAATACTTCAACAGCTACAATGACTCACAGAGAACGAGTTCGAACAAAATTACAACAAAATCTACGAACCAACAACAAAAATCAAACAGCCCTCAAAAAGTTAACTTTACTTTGAACTCAATCGAACCCCATTCTTTGAGAACCAGAGATAAAAAAAATGCCGAAATTTGGGTATTTGTAATTTCTTTGAAATGAAATAAACTCGAACGAAGAAACAACTCAGACTATTTTTTTTTTTTTTTTGAAAATGCAATCTAAAACTTGAGGAATCTGAAGAAAGAAACTCAAGAACCCTAGAACTTTTCTTCCCTAAATTTCTGAATTTTTTTTCCCTAACCTTTAACCAAGAAAATTAGGACCTTATATATAAGCATCTAATATTCTCGAACCTTCTGCCAAAAATCTAAAGAATTCAATCCGTTTGTAAACAATTTTAGGGACAAATGGAAGTCATGGATTGATTTTCATCCATCCATGACTCCCATTCATCCAACAAATCGTTCAAGAGTCCAAAAAAACGTGCAAATCCGGAGGAAATATTCTCGTTTTGTCAGAAATTCGTTAGGATTAGAGTGACGTGGAGCGATGGGGCCCGTGTGTGAGTGAACTCACCTGAGTTTCAAGTGAGTTAGGGCTGGCTCAGATGAGGGAGATGATGAACAGTAGCTCAGCGCCGTTTTTGGTCTTTTAAGTTTATGGTTTGTTTTGGGAGAAATGTTATATGAGGTTTATATATTAAAGGGGGAAACATGGTGGGTCAGAGGGAGAGGTCTGGGCTGGGGTGGGTAATTTGGTATTTGGACTCAGATTTGGGGTGGGTTTGGGTGAAGTAATTGGGCTTCAGCAAACATTAGCCCAAATTAAACTTAAGACCAAACCCCTTTTTTCAATTCCCTTTTTAATTTTTTTTCTTTTTCTTGATTAATAAAAATCCTAAATTAAACCCTTAATTATTTTAAGTTGTAAAATCAAACTAATTAGCAAATCCTAAGATTTACAAAAATTAATTGATCCTAAATTAAAAGAGAAAAACTACTCATCTTGAATTAAAAGCTAAAAAAATATAAAAGTGAACCAATTTTTGTGATTTTCTTTTTTAATGAGACACCTAATTTAATAATTAGTCCTAAAAATATGAAAACAAAATCTCAATGCAATGCACGGTGTTTATGTATTTTTTCATGATTTTAATAAAAGTAAACATGCACAGAAATGCAAACAATTAACACATATTCCTACAAAAAATCCTATAAAATTGCAAACAGTTGGAAGAATTTATTTCTTTGATTTGTAGGAGTATTTCACATAGGGCAAAGATCATGTGCTCACAGCTTCCCCTTTTTTCTAAGAAACACAAAGAGTTTCGGGCAAAGATAAAGTGAACGGATATGAGCGATTTTTGCCCGTTTGAATACTCCGTGGGAAGCATTTTTTGAAAGATCTGACCAAACCTTGCTTCCGAGGTTGCCTACATATCCTTGGCTATAAAGGAATCAGATCAGTGTAGTTCAGAAAGTTTCAGTAGCTGGGACTACCGGAAAGCTGTGATTTCACTGTTGTTGCTGCTGCTACTGCTTGCTAAACTCCTTATTACACTGAGATGAAATAAAAAGAAGCTAGGCTAAACTATGATCTATGAATTACAAGAATCGTACTACCATCTTCAAACTTGGTCTTGTCACTTCTACAGTTCTGTTGTGCATCTTGAACTGTTGCTCTGCACTGAATTTCTGTTGTTGCTAACTTTAATTGAATTCGTCAATAAGTTCCTTTGTTTTTCAGGTGGGTGCCTGATTACCGATACTTGAATTGTATTCCCTTATTCTTCAGGTGGACGCCTAATTTCCAAGAACTTGAATTGTATTCCCTTGTTCTCTAGGTGGGCGCTTGATTACCAAAACTCGAACTGTATTCCCTTGTTCTCCAGGTGGGCACCTGATTACCAAAACTTGACTTGTGTTCCCTTGTTCTCCAGGTGGACGCCTGATTGCCAAAAACTTGAACTACATTCCCTTGTTCTCCAGGTGGGCGCTTGATTGCAAAAAACTTGAACTATATTCCCTTGTTCTCCAGGTGGGCGCCTGATTGCCAAAACTTA